TCAAGATTCAGGGAGCTGGGGCAATAGTAGCCGATCGAGGTGAAGAAGAGGAGGGCAACGTCAACATCAACCTGTGGGCAATGATAAGGGTGGTGGCCGGCAGTTTCACGATTAGCATGGTCCGTTGCCGTGGGACTTTTTCAGGTACGTAGCTTTTCCTTGACGGGAGTCCCACGCTCGCTTTCTTTCTCGACCCACAGTGCCGAAATGGCTCCGGAACAGGGGCCTCATCAGGTGGCAAAACTTTAGCCGGCCAAAGCCCCTGTTTCTACTGGCACATACATACCCACACAGAAAAGATGCCGTGCCATCCCTGGTACGGCTCGTCACACAACAATTTTGCGTTTGAAATTGTATACAAACGAGAGAACTGGTAGATATATCATCACATTTTTTCAGCCGTTCTTGCCAAATCAAAGCGCCGTGTGCCTCCGACTGATGAGAGTTGATGAGTGGATGATGAAGGCACAATGATGTGGATGGATTCTGGCTGCCACGCGACGCCCGAACAATCGGAATGTGCTACAGGAGCTGCATTTGTTCGGTTCCTCATCTGCAACAGCTAGCTGTAAAACCGAATATATATGACGATCGACGCGAGGGGTTTTACAAGAAGACCGGGGAGAGCACCGATCTGGACAGGAATTTCAGCATCAGGAGACGATTAGTGAAATAGCAGCAGACACAGGCAAGACTGTTCGGTGCTAAATGTGTTTGAAGGAGGAATCATCGTGCCTGCGTAACGTTGTATATATCTGTTCAGCAAAACAGGAAAGCGCAGTGTATACTACATGTTCGATGCTCTTTTAACGAGAGCAAAGGGAGGTGGTGGTGGTAAATGATTTCTTGGCTCAACATACTATTTGTCTACTTTACGGATGCTTATTCGCGCTGTTGTTTCAACAGTCACGGTTAGGTGTGGTAATATCTTGCCGTGACAAAAATGCAGATTAATTCCTTCAGGAAAATTATACAGATATTTCCCATGAAACCTTTCACCGATTGCTACACAGATCATACGGTCCAGTACCATGCTAACATCACAATCGTCGCCTACCAATGGTAGGTATGTATCTTTCATCACAAGAAAAGGGAAACCCGTTGGACCAATGGAAAACCCTCGTTTTAGGCATCAAATTGAGGTTCACATGTGGATTACTTGAAACCAAATAAAAGAAAAAAAGACCAGACTTTATGAGGATAAGTATTGCAGAACGTACCTGCGTATGGACAAGAGATTGGATGAGCCAAAAAGTAACGGGTTGAGCTGGGCAAGGACGCAAGTGTAAGCTTGAGGGGGCCCTCCAGCTTGTAGCACTAACACATGCTCTGCAGTATGCAATAGTGCGCCTGTTAACGTAAAAAACCAACTGGTTAAACAGCTGTCACTCACGCCTCGCCGACTAAATTTCAAATACTACAAAAGCTCTATTACGACATGGACATGAATCTGAATCAACAACCGCACAGCTTTTTCTCAAGACAGCTATTCAAACAATAACATCAACAAAGAAAAGTGTGTCAAGGACCTTATCGTACTAGTTACACACATTCATAGCTTCCAAAGTGCTCTAAAAAGAACTCAACGCAAGAGTAAAAAGATTTAAATAAGGCATTACGAAATAAGGCCATGGGGACAACAAATCTAAAAGTGACGATGTCATGGAATTCGACTGCTGCATTTTTATTAGCCCATGTACAATGGGTACTCCTGGCCCATGCCCCTACTCACACCGCTGACCGGACGTCTCTTTTTGGGTCGGAGCCATCTCCCGGCAGAGGGGCGTGACAACTCTGCGAGGCACGCGCCTCCCTCCGCTCCTTGGTCCATTTCGTCGAGCCACGGAGTTAGGATCGGCGTTGGTGACGTTGTGGTTCATGAACACGGCTCCCATCAGAAATTCCCATTTCCACCCTCAGCCTCGTCGCTGGGAGGAGGCAGGAGACCCACAGCGGTGGGGAGGAACCGGTGGCGGCGAGGTGGTGGAGGAGCCCACGGCGGCGCGATAAAGATGGATCTGCGTTGGCGATGACTTAGGGATGGCAGAGGGAGAGGAACGGGCGCCATCCGTCGGGCACCAGCTCCCCTGTGTCTCGTCCCGCACGCGGTCTCGCCCCAGCCATCGGCGGAGAGAGCGGCGGGAGCTCACGTTGCGTCTCGCCTCGCGCGCCGTGGGGTGGAATCGGTGGTGCGACGACGCCAGCCACTACTGGATCTAGCGCGGTGAAGAAAAACGGAGGCGACGGGTGGTGGGGCGGAGTCGGCGGTGCGATGGGGCGGAGTCATCGGTGGCGTGGTGGGGCGGAGCCTGCGACGCATTGCAGCGGAGTCGGCGGCGCTGATGACCGGTGGTGAGCGTGGTGAAGAGAAGAGGAGGAGGCACTGAAGCGGAGGAGACGAGAAAAAAAAAGGGGAGGAGACAAATAAAATAAAGAAGGGGGGTAGAAGGGGAAAACAACATTAGTAACTTTGTGGGCTGGGACACGTGTTGTGGACTGCAGTATCTTCATATAGTACTCTAAGATTTTGTAGGATCCATTTGAGAGTATCCTCTATTGGGGGTAGAGTTTCCTATGTGTGTCCTTAGACGGTATGGTCTACATGAGGCTACTTCTACCGTGGCTTATAGTGTACATGTCCTTACTTTGCTATAAGTGCTGAAAAAAGAAACACTTGGATAAACTAGTTCTTACTTTAGTTTACTAATGTTTAGCATGGTAAACATGCAAAATAACCGAACTGGGTAGCCAGGAATCAAACAAATATTGTTTGGTTGGACATGCTTGGCACAATCCATAAAATCAACATGGAAATGCGATTTCTAGCTAGATACAATTTTAATGAACTAAATTCCAACAGGAAAAGATTATGCAGCTCTATTTTCTCCACTTTTTTGTGGGGATGTGAGCGATTGGGTTGTCAGAGGACTGGTTTCCGATGCGGTTCAGTTTTACAGCTTTACTTTTCCACAGCCACTATTGGCAGACTTAAGAAATGCCCAAGAGTTTACTACTCCCTCCGTTTTACAATTAAAGTCATTCTAACATTTCCTACATTTATATTGATGCTAATGATTCTAGACATATCATCAATATGAATATGGGAAATGCTAGAATGACTTACATTGTGAACGGAGGAAGTATTTCTTTTTTGTGAATATCTGGCCTAGCTGGACCCAGGTGTTTAACATGGCTCATGCTGGACAATTGTGGTTGGGTTGATTCGACCCAACCAATCCCAAAATGTACTGTATTAACCAAACTTCAGATCACACATTTGGTATGCCATTTAATTTTGCACAAAGAGAGATCCAAGCTTGAAGTCCAACAGTGGAAACCATGTTTAGATATCTTGTCTCATTACTCATTACACACAATAAGATCAGTGTGATGTGACTTACATCTGCACACTCCATATTCCAATAAACTTCATAGTATATCAGATCTACTTACTTCAATTTCTTTTTATCAAATGTAAGCAAGGAAAAAAAATCAAATCTTATTCACCCAGCTCACCTATATTGTTCCAGACTTCCAGGTTTTAGGCACCGGTTCTCAGTAGTGATGTTATGTCAAATTTAAAATATTGAACTTCAAACTTGTTATGCAGAAAGAAAAAACCAAGACATTACTACATTCCTTCTTGAATTGATTTGAAATCAGATTCGTGCTGATCTGAATAATTAATGTTTTTTTTATTTTGTTGATACCTCTTGGCTGGATCACCCATAGGCATGCATTTATCAGTGACTTTCCATCTACTGTGGGTACCTACACATGCAGAATCCACTAATCAGAAAACCAAAGGCATAGGTTATACCATATGAACAGTCGCAGGGCCGGCAGCACTCTTAAGCCCGGTCGATGTAGAGCATTTCTTAGCTGCTGACAACTTTTATAGGAGTTTCTGCCAATTGGCAGTATTGATGCCAGTGGCGGAGCTTGAGCAGCCGCCTGATCAGCTGGGAGCTGGCTTTGCCGTTGCATATTGTTGGAATTAATAGATGGGATAAGGCACATTCTAAGATTAATTCTTAGAAAAATCACAAAAGCCCACCTCATAAGATAGCATGCATGTGGAGTTTAGTACCATCTTGCTTATTCTAGGAGAGGGGGACCTCCTTAAAAACAAGGATGCCCTCCTAGCCACTTGAAGCGTGTATGGTGGAGAGAAGAGGGGGAACACACGCGCTCGCCTCGCCTCGCCTCGCCTGGCAGGCGGCGCGCATGCACGATGTTACGCGTCGAATGGTCTGCAAATGCAAGTCTCCTTTTGCAGTTTTATTTTGCTACGGGAAATTCGGATTTGTTTTGTTTTGGAAACATTCCAAAAAATCCGGTTCGTGAAAACGGCGTGGAGTCCGGATAAGTTACGCGCGACTTATCTGGTTCGGTTATGCGGAGTGGAGATCTTGCGGGCGCCCTGATCAAGCGACCTATCTCTGTATAAACCAAGCCGCCGCCTTCACGCAACATACGCGAAATCAGTTTAGGGTTTGCCTCCTACTCTGTGTTGCGCCGTCGCTCGTAGACTATTCCATCCCGCTCGCCGGCGTGCACCGGCGATCTGGAGAGTAGGTCTCCAGAACCTCTGCCTTCGACGTCCTGCACCGGGAGAAGGCGGCAATAAGGTTTTTGGGAAGCGTTTCGCGCGACTGCTCCCTGTTCGTCCGCGATGGCTCGCCTTCCACTTCGCTCGCGTGCTGCGCGCCTTCATCAACGCCTGCAACCGCGAGTAGTTCCTGCTGAGCAACCGGTTTTTCCACCACCTCGGTACGTGTTTGACATGTTGCACATATTTGATCTGTTCATGTTTTACTGCTTAGTTTACATGTGTAGATCTAATGATGCGTTCATGCTAGTTTACATCTACAATGTCATAATTTATTTGTGGAATAGATTAAATCATTATGTGCTTATAATTTCAACACATATGAAATATTATAAAAAGGAAAATATAAATCCACATGAAGAAGCTACCTTAGTTGATACTCCCCACAAGAAAGAAAGAAAAAACAAGCTAATATAAAGGGGAAAAAGGAAGATCAGGCATGTAAATCATGTAGGATATTGTTTTGCCCATGCTAATAGAAAAGCCAGAAATCTAAATATCTTATACACAGTGACAGAAAGTCTCTGTTGTAAGTTACGCTGGTCATCTGATGGTAAAAACGAAAGAAGGAACCCAGTTTGAGCATTTTAGTGATGTCAACTTCAAAATTTCATGTGCAACATTTGCTTTGAGATACAGAAATAAGTATGCCATGATTTCAGGCTCCAGTGAAGTTCAGTAGAACCAGGAAGTAGGAACACAACCTTTAACTTGGATAAAGGGAAGTATAATATAGGGCTTGATGAAGGTTTCCTGCCTTAGTAACCAAATAGTGGTATCAATTATATGGCATAGCTTCATCCTCTCTTGATGGAAATAGTCCTGCACAGTTATGATTGACATGTTTCAAACACCTCTTGAATTCCAACAATACTTAACTGTTTCTGTTCAATTTAGAAACAACAAACAATTAAAGGTTTAAATGTTGAAAGTAGCAAAATTTCTTCTTTTTTCACAACAGAAAGAACTGTTCTATTGAAGAAAGTACACATTTATAAAAAAAGGGGAAAAAGAATCTTTACTGTTCCAAAATACTAGTTATGGCAAAATAAAACAACTGAATGAAAGAAATAAACATTGTAGCAGTTTTTGTTCTCAATATTCTTCAAACTGCAGTCACATAATTAGACAAAATTCTGAACAAAGGATGCATATTTGCAATAGTTTCAAATCACAGGTGGATTTGAAGTCACAGTACTTGTAACTGGCATGTCAGCAACAATTTTGAATTGCTGTGTGCCGATAGACTAAGTAATACTGAACCATACTTTCTCTGTTCCAAAAAGAACCTAATCCTAAGTTTGAATCTGAACAAATACTATGTCTAGATTCGAACTTGTGATTGGGTTTTTTTTTTTTGGGACGGAGGGTCCATTTCATACAAAAATGTATGTCAACAGAAATTTAACTGCAAACCAATACTTACCATTCAAATTAATAATTTCAATTGATGCGTCGTTAGGAGACCAGGAGATTATTGCCAACATGATCCTTCCATGTTGAAAATTGAAGCCATAAGAAATGGTTGCCAAACTTGCCATCTTGCAAATTTATTTATTGCTCGTCAATTGATGGACTAATAACCTCAATTTTGAAGAAAGATAAAAGTACATAGCTGATCTCTATTACCATATAAACATAAAGTACATTTCCTGAATCCAAGACACCTCTCCTCATTTTGTAATGAAAGAGTTATAGTACTTTGCCACTGCCACTGTAGACACATTCACTTGAAGTAGTAAATATATCTTGTGACTGTAATTACGTCTCGTGATCTAGTAAAATACATCCCTCCCAAGCATTGGTAGTGCCTTTTATGGAAGACTCTGAAAATAATAGTAATTATAGGTTTTATGGAGAATAAAATGAAAAATCACCTACTAATGAGCCAAACATTGTGTAAGATCACGAGGACAACTTTAAGATAGATCAAGATTACTATACAGATAATATTTGTAAAGTGAAGTGTGTGTCGCACTGCTGCACTCAGACCATGGAGTTGAAAGTCCCATAACAGGTTTGGCAGGTGTTTCAACCTGGCGAGCACAACATACTGCAAGAGTTATAAGTCTCTATTATTACAACTACTAAGCTGCAAGGTCACCAAAACAATGTGCTATTTAGAATCATATAACTGTGTAATCTGGAATACACACGCATCCCAGCAGCCAAAGTCGTGTTGGATAAGAAATCCACAGAACAATTGATTCTGACTTGTACAAATACAAGAATGAACTGTAGTTTTAGTTCTTTAAAGCTAATAAAATGCACACACTACAGTTGCTCAGATGTATTTTTACCAGTGCAGCATAATGCTACTCTAATCTTATCTATTATTCTATTTATCAACACAAATATTTTTTTGGGGAATCCTGTTTGTGTCAAAACTGTATAAGCCCGTTCAAAAAAAAAAAAGGAGAACTGTATGAGCCCCTCCTTGGTTTTGGCCCTTTTCTGTGAAAAAATACAGTGTAAAAGAGATATATTACTAAAGAAGGGATTTATGTAAGACTACTTCATGCTACAGCCACCTGCTACAAGTCTGGAGTGTGTTGATTCATACATAAAAATGCCAGCCTATAAGACGTAAGATCACTTCCATACTGTAGTAAATGTTACAGTAACAACGCTAGGGTCTTGAAACATGTGATCCAAATGAATACAACGTAACAACTCCAACCAGTTTCTGTCACAATATTTGCTTAGGGCACCCATAATGATAAAATAAGGTGCTCTCTATAAAACATGTACATCTCAACAATAGACTAGATTAATAGTAAATCGCCTCAATAGTATGTTTATATGGGTATCTATAGCTCTCTAATCTATTGTCTCGTTTTTCTCTATAGACTATCTCCAGGTTAGTAGATAGCTTTGCTCTCTCTCTTCATTTAATCTCTTCCATGTAGGAAAATATGCTGACATGAATCTCTTGTAGATAGCATATAGATAACCATTGCGGGTGCCCTTACCGATAAAGCTAACCAGCAGGGTAAGAATGCCGATCAATGGTCTAGACCACACCATATGCAATCATTAAAAACAATCGACCTAGTTAGATCAGAATAACCAGTCGGCTCATTTTGGGATAGTAATGATAATAACTAATAATAAGCAAGAAAGAGAAATAACAGTTTCTTTCTACCGTTCGGTAAAAACAAAATCTAACAGATTAAACTGGGGACGAATTCACCCTGCCGACCAAATTTCCAACGACTTCACCCTCCCCCTTTCCCCCGTAGTGAGTAGTTGACAGACCTCACCTCACGCCCCACCGGCAGCAAGGCAACAAACGGCCACCATACGACACCGAGAAAGCAGCCCGGTTCTCGTCGGTTTTCACCATCTCCAAACCGGAAGGGGCACCTGATTCCTGCACGGTTTCTACATTGCGCGGTAAGGGAACGGACGCCGAGGGCGGGGCGTGTCCGGGCGAATCATTGCGCCACCCCGGACAAGGAACAGGAGAAAGAAAGACGGACGGGCGGTGGCGTGGTGTCGGAGGTGGATTGACACCGACTCACCTTTTTCGTTTTATTAGTTTCGCCACTTTGGAACGGAGCAGAAAGGAACAGGGGAGCCGTCGGCCGCCCTCGACGGCGACGGCGCTTGGGGGTTGTCGCGACCTGCCTCTTATGGCTGCTGTTCCGGTCCCCGCCCGCCGTGCGCGGTGGCGGGGTGGTGGCGTCGATGTCTGCGCGCGTGAGGAGAGAGGCGCAGCGACGCGGCCGACGCCTGGGCGGACGAAGCGGCGGCCGGTCACTTCGTTGTGGGCCGTGAAACCATTGGGTTGGGCCGGACGTGTTGTAAGTAGGGGGGAGCAAAAGCCTATTTTAGCTAGGATAAAGTTCACTCTAGGTCCCTCAACTTGTCCCCCAGTCCGATTTTCATCCTCAGTCCGGAAAACCAAATACAAAACATCCCTCAACTTACAAAACCCAACTTACAAAACCATGCAAATAATGTCCCTCGGCAGCATTGATCTTCGGTTTTGGCTGACGTGATGTCTACATGGATCCTTTGACTAGGTCATCGTCCCACGTGGCGTTGACGTGGCGTTTATGTGGTAATTAGAACCGGAAAAAACTCGTAGGGCCCACATGTCAGTTTCACACAATAATAATAATAAGAGAAAATCCATGAAATGCCATTGACAAACACCCTAATCCCAGAAATGCCATCGAGAAAGACAATTTCCCAAAAATACCATTGCACACGCCTCTTTCTCCCAAAAATGCCATCACACCATAAGTGCTGTTAAGTCCTCTCCATTAAGTTGTATAAAAAGACAATCTTACCCCTAGGCATCCATTTGCTCACACATCATCATTCTGTATTGTTTGCTCACACAATATTATTTTGCATTCATACATATTTCTGTCCACAACTAAATTCACAGACATCATTATTTTGTTATCAATCAAATTATTTCAGAATTAAATTCACAAACTAATTTCACACATTTTGCCATTGCAATTCTTTCAGAAATTTTGTTATCAATAATCAGGATTGTGATATGAGAAAAAAATAGAGCTATCAATAACCCTCCTCGCTGGCGCCTCCGAGACAAGTTCAGTTGAAACATATACTTCTCCATCATCTCTATTTCACATGAAAGTTCAGTAAGATAGATCACCCCCTCAGCTCGATTGTGAATCATGGATACCTAAAATTTCTAAGTAAAGCACACAAAAACAGCAAGGACAACTGAATCAACCTACTATCCACACACAAAGTTCATCTCTTGCAGATTTCAAATTCATTAAAAGAAGCAAAACAAATTTACCCTCCTCGCCGGCGCCTACGGCCCCTGCGCCGCAGGCTGTGACCGCCACACCGTCGTGAACCGCGTCGACGCGCCCTGCAGCGCCGCGATCGTGGGCCTCCTCGCCGCTCGCAGCCGCGCCGGCGCCGTGGGCCTCCTCGCCGCTCCCTGCCGTGCCGGCACCGCGGGCCTCCTCGCCGCGCCCTAGGCCCCCTCGCCGTGCCGCCGCCCTTGGCCTCCTCTCTGCAACGCTGCCCTGGGCCTGCCCTGCCGCGCGGCCCCCCGTGGACCGCCGGCATAGCGGCTCCACCACCGTGGACCACCACCTAGCCGTCGTCGCCGAGCAACCGCTGTGCCTCCTCACCGGATCGATTGGGTTAGGGTTCTTTTTCCCTCAGCATTTTTCCTCACAGTGAAAATAGGGAGTATATTTTGCACTGAGGGCAGAATGGACATTATAAAAAAAAATAACGGATGTAACAGTGTGGAGTTGACGGTGATGGCATTTTTAGGAGAAAGAGGCTTGTGCAATGGCATTTTTGGGAAGTTGTCTTTGTCGATGGTATTTCTGGGATTAGGGTGTTTGTCAATGGCATTTCATGGATTTTCTCTAATAATAAATGGTGGGGCCCCTTGGCCCCACACATCATTCTCAATATCCTCCCTTTCTAAACCGTCAACTAAAACCGTCATCTAAACCACCGAGGAACCTCATATGCACCGGTTTTGATAATTGAGGGACCCGTTGTATTTGGTTTTTAGATTGAAGGACGAAAATCAGATTCGTTGACAAGTTAAGGGACCTCAAATGAACTTATTCCGTTTAGCTATATCTATTCCGTCCCCAAGAATTTACCCTGTTTGGACAGGACGAATTTCACAGGACTTCAGGCAAAGGTTTTTATTTGGAATAAGCTCACTTGAGATCCTTCATCTTGACATCAAGTTCAGATCATATCCTATACCATAATACCAGATATAATGCGTCACTCATCTTACTAAACCAGTCTAAATATAGTCCTAATGTGATTTCAATAGAGGTTTCAGCTGACTGCAACCATGTGGTGTGTTGACTTCATCTACCTATGACGTGGCATGTGGAACCCACAAGTAAATGAAAAGGAATAAAAACGAAAAACCATTAGTTCACATGTCACCTATTCTTTCTTTCCTCTTTGTCCTCTCATGCAACTGGGCAACGGCGCAAAGGAGGTTCCAACCTCCAGCTCGAAGGCTTCCCAGCCTCCTAGTTTTCCTCTTCGGCAACATGGCGGTGGCGCGGAGAGGAGGGGGGCTGTTAACAACGAAATTTGAGAGGGGCGGACGATAGCGCTCACACGTGAGCAACCGCTATAGATCGGCGTTGGTGAAGGCGTCAGAATATGGGTGGTTCTAGAAAGGGTTAGTCGTCGACCTTGGTCAGTTAAGGACCAAGTCAGGAAGCTATATAGGAAACGAATCGAGTACGACCGCATTTTACAAATAGGTAGACCCGATGGACTAGGAAATTCTTGTGGGGTGGCACCCCAGTCATGGTAGGTTATGTATGAGTATGATGTTGTTGTTGAAGTGTTGATGATTGGAAAATACCGGTAAAAACCTAAAATGCACCCTATAAGTGTGTGTGTGTGTGTGTGTGTGTGTGTATACCCTGATCCCGGGAGCGCCAGGACTCCCCTCACTTCCGGCTCGAGGTAGGTTTGGTGTGCCGGGGGTGCGATGGGGCTCATAGTCCTTGGAGCGGGTGCCGCAATGCGAGAATAACTGAAAAGCCGGGCCCTGACAAGTCTCATGTGTTGGGCAAGTCACGGAGTGTGGGATTAAAAGCGTACATCCACTGCAGTGTGAGTAAACCAATCTATTCAAATAGCCGTGCTTGCGGCTAATGAGCGCCTTGACTTGTACTACTCTTGACTAGACTCATAAGTTCTAATATTGCTTAAGATTTGAGATGGAGCGAACTGTGTGACCTTGCCCACAGTGCGGGAAGGTCGATATGATGAAGATGATAAGAATCTGGATGTGAGGGTAAACCGGACAAAGTGAGGCTTGGGGAAGGCGGATGAACCCTCGAAGATTAATGACAACTTCAACTTAATGTTGTTTTCAGTTAAAACTGCTAAGTCATAGGTTTGTGGAATGAATTGTGAAAACTAGCTTTATGCAAATAAACCCAGCCATCCTTGAACCCCTGTGTGCACTAGATGCATTCTGTAGTGGTGGCTTGCTGAGTACGTTCGTACTCACCCTTACTTAATTTAAAACTTTTAGAAAGGAGTTGGAGTCGACCATATGCATGCTATGCTGTTGAAAACGTGTCGAAGACAAAGGAATAGGGATCTAGGTTCACCAGTCAATGCCTATGGAATTTGATGGACCTTTGCTGCTTCGCTTCAGCTATTTTATCTATATTCCATTTGGTATTTTGTAATGTGCATGACCATGCTCGGTTTATTTGGGGTCCTAGTTGAGTAACCCTTGTATTATTAATGTAGTACAATACCTATAAAACGATGTCAGCTTGTGATATTCGACTATGCCATGTGTGTACCACCTACTGATCCAGGGAGTGATATTGTAAGACATATGGGGTTTCCGGTGTACAAAACCGGGGAACCACAATCAGTTTGTGAATTGTTTGTATTTCTTAACGACACTACTGGTAATATGATTCCCAGCAATGATGCATAAATAATCCTGGTATATTAATGGTTACAGATGTAATCCGCAAGCACACGGATATACCATTTTAGCATTTCACCCGGAAGTATTCCAATGTATCATATGTATTTAATCCCAATAGAAGATTTATAAGAGAGAACTATGCTAATAATTTATATATTACCAGTATACATCAAAGTCTAAGTAGGGGTTAATTCATTTGTACTGGATAGAGTGACACGAAGTAAGAAGAACTCAGATTCTCTTATTTAAATAAACCTAGGCTATGTGGGAAAAGAAATATAAAATAATTCAATCTTATACTTAATATATATACATCTTTAGTTTACACTTGCTAGTATACAGCTATGCAACCAATACCCCTTAACAGTGCCCTCCTGGTGTTTCGAGAGACCACCCCTGATTGTCGAGTTCCTTACGACAACCCGTCATAGCCATCCAACCGGGATCAAATACGGAGGAGTACCCACCCTGGGAAAGTGTCTTAGGAATAACGTGGAGGAATAACCGTACTGAGCTGTCACCATCAGCGGCCCACCTCTACTGTCCCGCAGCATATATACCCAAATAATGATACTTAATGATATAAGCACCACGTTTACATTATTAAATATTTGATACGACCCCGGTAGGGGTGATGTCCCGATCTTTACGGCATAGGATCAAGAATTGATAACTAGCCTCAACGAAAACAAGATAACTAGTTGCGAGCAACAAAGATAACAGTGCAACCTGACGATCGTACTCGAAGCCAACCACCATCTCTATTACGACAACCTGAATCGAGGGTTCGTCCAACCACACTCTAAGTTACCAACCAACACAACCTGGAATCAATCAAGGAAAAACGTCGAAGGGACCAGAAGCACCAATTGGGGGGCGTCGAACGCCGCTTCTGTAATCTAACATGGAAATCACAAGAGCAAAGGCGTAGAGATCTATCTCTGAATTTGCTAGCACACAGCTAAACAAAGGGGTTCATATTCTTATTGTCAAAAGTCTTTCAAATGATAAAACATAGGGGATATTTATAATAGGAACAATCCTCCTAGATGGGGATAAATATGGCTAGCTCAAGGGTTTCCATGAGTCATTCCCGAGCAGGTTCGCTAGAGCCTTTCAGCTTCTATGCAGCCTCCACAAAAATATATATTACTCTCTCATGGGAAGTCGAGACGACTAGCCGTTTGTTGGAGGTGAAACTAGACTTGATTATCTTTCCAACCATATATATTATGCATGGAGGAATTTGACTGGCTGAGTCGCACATCCCTTAGAAGTTATAGCATCTGCACATAACCGGTCTGCTCGTTGTCG